ACCTGTCTTACTTTCCTTGTCAAATATCCAACAGCCACAACTTAAAAGAGGAGATGTTTATTTTAGCTCTGTTCAAAAGTGTTCGTCCATGTTCAGCAGTTTAAACACAGAAAAAGCTTGGTGGAATGGTCTGGGCAGAGAAAGCTGCTCAAATCACAGTCACAGTATCTAGGAAGCAGACAGAGAAAGAAGGACCTGGGGAGGGAGTTACACCCTTCCAGGTCACACCCCCAATGACCTGCCTCTGGACCAGACCCCATCTCCTAACAGCAAGTCAGCTACATTGCCACCAAGATTCAGTCACCTTCCAAAAGTCCTGCCTATAAGCCCAGGTGGCCTTTAGGGGACATTCTTGATCTAAACCATAACAATCGAGAGTTAATCCAGTTTAGAAGAAGTCATGAAGTTGATCATCTCTCATGATGGAATTAGTGCCTTTATAAAATACACCAGAAAATTTGCAACTTGCATGCATATGCCTTCTGCTTCCTCTCCCCTCTCCCTCTCTCTCTCTCTCTCTCTCCCTCTCTCTCTCTGCCACATGAGAAAAATTATTATCTGAAAGAAAGAAAACTGGTCTTAGTCATTTTGCCTTTGCTGACACACAATACTGACACCCACAACTTAAAGGAGAAGTTTATCTTAGCTCATGGTTTTTAGAGGATTCAGTCCCCAGTCAGCTCACTTCAAGGCAGAAATGGCATGTTAGAAGGTGTTAGGTGAAGGAAAGTTACTCATCCTACAGCAGTAATGAAGCAGACAGCGAAAGGAAGAGCTGGGTAAGAATACAACCTTCTAGGACATGGCCCCAATGCCCCACCTCCAATCAAGCCCCACTTCCTAAGGGCGCATTCAATTACAGGATTCATCAATATATGAATCCACTCAAGTAAAGTGTCCCCATGACACAATCACCTTTCACACACATGAGAATGCAGGGGATGGGAGCACATTTTAGATCTAAATTATAACAGAAGACAATCATGCCATCATCTAGGACATCTAGCTTCCCAAACAGTGAAAATATAAATTTCTGTTATTTAGGCCACCCATTCTAACTATGGTATTTTGTTATGGCAGTCTGAGGTAAGGAAATGTTTTTGGAAATGTTTCAGTTTTTAAATCTATGTTCTTGTCTGGATTTTACTGATTGGTAAGGAAAAGTTCAAGTACACAAACATCTAAAAAACAAAAAGAAGGCAATTCTGTCATTGCTAGTCATTTGGGTATTAACTGGAATGAGAAAAGAAGTGAAAATAGGAATAAGAAAAAGACCTTTTCACAATTTGCCTCCACTTAACCTTTCTAATTTACCTGACTTGACCTCTGAAAAATGAGCTACATTTTGCTAGTTAAGACAAACCTAGTTTTCACCCAGCTCTCTGCTGGGGATAAGGGGGGGATGTGGACTATCTTTCCCAAAACTCCAGTTTCTCATTGAGTTTTCCCCAAAAAGTGGTCAGAGAAAGGAGAAGAATATGAAAACAAAGTATTTTGTTTCTTTTATTCCTCTGGCTCTTTTGTTGCAAGGTTACCATGAATTATCTGAGATTCTCAATCAAAGCTCAGTGCTCCTCTCAAGATGGCCCACTCTCTCCCTCTGGGCTTCTAATTATCGATCCCTTGCTTCCTGTGGCTTAGTCAGGGTTAAAATTTGAATGCCTTCCAACTCTATCCTCCTTTGAACTCTCAGGGTTTCTCCTGTATGTTCAACTGTGAAAATAATACCTATTCAATCTGTCCTATTTCGAGCATGCCATTTGCTTCCTGTTGGGACCTTGATCAATATACACTTTTAATCAAGCAGCACTTTCAGGTTAGAATACCTTTCTTCACTCTATTTCTCTGGTCAACTTCTAAACATATTACTGAGCATGACTAAATGTCAAACACCTCTAAATGTCTCTGTTACCTTGAAAAAATTAAAAAACTAAATTACTCACCCTTTTTATTCCAATAGCACTTTATGTTTAAAATACACACACACACACATATCACAATCCAATACAAGCATCACAGATCAAAAACAATGCCTGACACAAAGAAGACTTTTTTTTGGTAAGGGGGATCAAACTCGGGATCTTGCGCTTATAAGGCAGGCAGCACCACTGAGCTAAATCCCTGACCTACAAAGAAGATTCTTAATCACTGCAATAAATTGCTATGAAACAACTTGAGAAAAGTGGTTTTTTTTAAATATAATGTTATTATAGGTATATATTTTTATTCATAAAAAATGAATAAAAGTCTTTAAGTAAATTAGTTGGCTATATATTCAAAATAAAACATGTTAAAGGCATGAATGTCTAACTGTCCTCCAGGAAAGTAGTGTCCTTTCCTATATTGTTACAGCCTTGTATGCTCAATTCTATTTTATTATGTTATTTTTAATAATTTGCTTAGAAAACTCATTTAATTAAAATGGAGAAGTTTACATGACCATACGAACAATTAAATATTTTTTTCAGTATTCAATTGAAAATATCAGGTATTTTGCAGGGCAAAGAGTTATTTTTCAATGGTAGATAATGGTTCATTTTTATTAACAGTTACTAGATAATTCATAAGGACATATCCTCAAATGAGTTATAAAGGTCAGTCCCTTGTAGACTGAAATAAATTCTCAAGTTCCATTTGAAACAAGATTTTTTAATTACCACAACTGACAACCTATAGACAACTTCAGAATTAAACTCCAAAACCTTCAACTTAGTTGATTTTTATAGCAAATTTAATCACTCCACCAAAGAAAATTTGATAATCACTTTCCATAAACAAAAAACTAATTATTTATCATTGTATTAATACATACTAGCATCTAAATGTTTCCCTAACATTTTAAATGTCTACAGAGTCTGAATAGTATTTGTGACCTAAATTTCCAGTTTATCATCTCCACTGAAATTTTTAGAAAACAATAATGAAGAAACAACCCAAAACAATTTACCTGATGTTGATTCAATGTTTCTTTACTATTATACATTGACTTTTAAAGACCAGGTGACAATGTAAAATCATTAGATAATTTCATTAAGACAAACTTGAAAAGAAACCATAATATAGTACATAGCATGGTTTAAAGAGAAAAAATTATAAAAGATTTCAGTCAGACTGGAGAAGCATAGGTCTAACATAAATCCAAATATATATAAATTATCATTTATTCCTGGTAGAGCTTAAGTATTCTTTACCCGAATTCCATAGGTTCTTAAACATTTAAGATTTTGGAATATTTGCATATAAATAATTAAGTATCTTGGGCAGGGATTAAAATCTATATACTATAAAGTTTTTTTCACATTTCATAAACAAACATCCGGAAAATAATATATACAATATTTTAAATAATTTGTGAATGAAACAAATTCATGGTGCTGAATTTTCCACTTGGGCCATCATGTCATCCTTTGAAAAGTTTCATATTTTAGAGTACTATGAATTTCATATTTTTGGATTAGAGCTGTCCAATATGAATGCAATTACCACTTGTAGAGAAACAACAGTGAAATTAATTTATACAACATTTACTTTAAAAGTAAACTGTGTCAGAACTCATGAAATTTTCTAATTGGAAAAGGCAGAAAAAATTCTCCAACATTTTTAAATACTAAATTCAGTTATTAAAATAATAAAACATTAATAAAAAAAGAATTGTCTTGCCTCACAATTTATATATAATCAGGACTTATAGAAGAATCAAGCTATTTGATAGGTTCCTACAAAAGAGGGCTAAAAAAAAATGGCTTTAACATTCAATAAATACTTCCTGAATGTATTTTCTGTGAGGCTTCATTCTTTGAATTGAGACTACACAGTAACAGCAAACAAAAAAGCAAAGGCCTTGCTCTTGTGCAGCTTGGAAAAGGGCTTATTTATATTAAATTTAAATCCCTTTTATTGTACATACTGTAGTTACTTTCTCTCTAATTTACTACAGATTAAAAGAACTTTGGCTGCCACTCCATGTTAACATGTCTCCTTATTCCATACACTGTGTTTTTCTGGTAACTATATTATGTGTAGCAATTTTTAATAATTTTATTATTTTGCTGTTTGCAAAAAAATTTAAACCTGAAAAACACACTTACTATTATCCATCTGTATTTTAAATATGCTTTAAGTAATCAGGTTAATACTGATATGTAACAAATACTCATAAAAGTAATTTAGTCACAGGAGGCATCATAATTGACTGAGGAAGGAAAAGAGATATAGGGCCACAAAATATTATATATAAGTATATGTACACAGGATCAAATGAAGTAAAGGTGAAGGCATTAGAGTGCTTCTTATATAACCAGGGGTCTTAAATCTGTAATTCAGACTTTGGAACCAATGGGCCAAGCATCACTCGCTAAGAGAGGCCAGGTGTGTTTTCCCCACAGATCATGAGTGCTGAGCCATATGGTCAGCCAGAGGAGGAAAAGTGTGGAGAGTGCTCAGCCTACCTGCAACACTCAGGTCCTGAGCCCACCCAGGGGGCCTTAGCACAGGAGATGATCACTGAGAAAGATCATCAAATTCAGAGGACAGAAGAGGAAAGAAACAGAAAATTCATGTCCCCCAAATGCAGAGAGGCACCTAACACAGCATCTCTTCTCACAGTTGATGTGGTTCACTGTAACATCAGTTTTCTCAAGACTCTCTTCACAGATAAAAATCCTTTCTACAGCTGATGATTCAAAGATAGGTTTCATTTTGTATTAAACTTTCTATTTTCCAGGGTCAAATTTTGGGATTCCTTTTTATATATCATTTCTTATAAAAAGCTTCTAAACATCTGATGATACAATAAAGTTTGGTACCTTACAGTTAAACACTTCTAATGTAAAGCATTCCAATTCTCTAATGCACACTATTAATATCTTTCTATTTAAACATTTTTACTGTTTCCCCCATTATTATCTTACTTTAGTTGGACTATGATATTTTAAGTTAAACTTCACAACACGATAAAAACAAAATGATAAGTTCAATAAAAATAAAAGGGGGAAAAATACCTTTAATTTGGATCCATGTGGTACGATTACAAATTTATTCTGTTTTGGAGGGATATACAGCTCCCATTTTCCATAATCCAGTTTTTTATAAGGGTATGAAAATGGGTTCCAGCCACCTAAAAAGGAAAAGAAGATCAGTTAACCATAGCTTGGCAGGACTAATATTTAATACGTTCCAAGTAAAGCACAATATGTTGCTTACGTGTACAAAATCAAACTGCCTTACAATATTGTTTTCTAACTTCATAATCAAAAGATCTTACTAGGTATTTAAAAAAAGCAACCTTTCCTAAACATAAGAAATGTAACTGGGGCTTCGGATGTAGCTCAATGGTAGTGACTGCTTGGCATGCACTCAGCCCTTTGGATCTTCAGCACTGCAAAAAGAAAAATATCCTAAAATTAAATTAATATTATAACATTTTTAATTGTCATTTTGATTAATATAGCTACCAATAAATAGAATGTAAAAGAAAGTAATAATTTTTTTAAAAAACTACCATCAGGCCGAGGATTTAGCTCAGTGGTTCCGCTGCCTGCCTCGCAAGCGCAAGGTCCCAAGTTCGATCCCCGGTACCAAAACAAAAAACAAAACACCATTAACAAAAAGATGATATGAACAAAAATAGTTATAAGACACATAGCATGGAAGAAAAAATGATGAACAATAATGAAAATCATATAATATGTACCTAATTCATAAGAATGTAACAGAGCTCAATTAAAACCTTAAATGCCTCCACTAAAGAAGGAAGAAAGTTACATTAACTATATGAGGTAAAGGAAATCTATATTGCAAACCTAGGAAGAAAGCCAAAATGAACAATAGTAAATTGATATACACATGGAAAAAACATGTAATAGAAGTGATATGAAAAATCAGTGAATAAAAGATATATTATTTAATAAGTATCCCGGAAATTTAGTTATCCTTATTTTTAAAATGAAATGGATCTATAATGATGTATTAAAAATCATTCAAATATAGATTAATGCTTAAATATGGCATATAAAGCTTTAACATGCTTAGAACAAAATACAGACAAATATATTTACAATTTGGGGATTTGAAAAGAATTTTTTAAGCTGAGTGTGGCAGTGCACACCTGCAATCCCAGGACTTGGAAAGGCTGAAGCAGAAGGATTGGAAGTTACAGTGAATCCTGGGAACTTTAGCAGAAGGTGTAGCAAAATTTGAAAGTCTTGGGTTCAATCTCCAGAATGAAAAAAAAAAGAATTTTTAAAAATAATATACCAAAAATTTCTATAAAACTTAGAAAGGACTGATCAATTTGACTACTAAAACTATAAAATTATCTTTAGAGATAGAACAATAACAAAAAAAATCTACAAAACAGGTGAATATATTGTAAGAAAAAATAGCATACAAAATATATGAAGAACATTCTAAGTCAATGAACATAAAGAAGCCAATAGAAACTAGGCAAAGAATATACTCAGAGGATGACACCTGAATAGCCAATAAACACATGTAATGATATTCAAGCTCACTTAAAATCATGGAATCACAAATTCAAACAAAAATCAGATGTCATTTTCCACTCATTGCACAGGCAAAAATTAAAAATTTCAAAATATTAAGTAGTCAGGAAGGATACAAAACAACAAGGCTGCTGAGGGTATAAATTATTTTAAAATTTCAGCATTATATACCAAAGTTGAAGTTCCATTAACCCTAGAGTCTAATGATCTTATTCTCACAGTTAATCCTGGAGAAATTATCATAAATGTGCCTTAGAAAGCAGTCAGAAGTGTTCACTGAAGAATTGTTTGCAGTGTGCAAAAGTGGTAGACAATCAAAATTTTATTAGTCATAAAATGAGTATGTAATTACATTGTGTTAACAGTGGAATGCTATACAACAGTACAAAAAGAATGGATTAGAGTGAATATATATATATATATATATATCCAAAACATAAAAGGTAGTTTTAAAGGAGTACAGAGGAATATCAGTTATATCAAGGTCATACAATAGGCAAAAAGTAACACTTATAAAGAGACATGTATGTAATAAAAATACTAAAACCGAAATATCAAACAATAGTGATTCACTATGCGCAAAAAAAAGAGAATACATGAAGCTTCAGTAATATCAATAATATTTTCTGCACAGTGGGTGGTATACACACAGATGCTCATTACATTATTCCCTATTTGCTTATGCTTAAAGTACTTCATTGTATAAAAAAAATTAAGCAGTCTGCCATATACACTGTGTTGCTGACTGATATTAAATTTTCAGCCAAGGCAATGTAAAAGCATACAGAAACTCAGCCAGTTTTTCTCCTTTCCAACTGTCTTTCATCCCATGAGCTCAGAAGATCTTCACTCTTAGCCAATCTAAACAATACAGGTAACCCAGGAGCAAGAAATGATATTGAAATAAAAATATTTCTGAAAGTTTCTCAGTTCTCCATCTGAAGATAACCTGAAAATTTCTGAAGGCAATTTACATTGAGGGGCAGGCCAACAAAATCAGTGTTGTTATATACCCTTTCACTAAAAATTTCAGATATGTAAGGGGTGACAACCTTTACCAAAACAAAGTTTAATCCACAGTTCAAGGGGAAAAAAGTTTGGAATCTAAATATCTGGGTATACTGTAACAAAATATACATTTACTGAATTTCTGTTCATGAAAAACACTTCAGAAAATTTATAAACTTAAGACACGCAGCAGATCATTTTCTGCTTAGGTCAAAAACTAAAGTGTACAGTCACTAGTTCATTTATTCATTAACTATGTAATTTATGTTTATTGTAGATCCTACTCAATGGTAAACTGAAACTAGTATTCAAAATGAGTCATATTTCACCAAGAAAAGACCAAATTAATAGTAAATTAAAATAAAATAATAAAATTATGGAGTATCCGTGAAAAATTCAACTATAAATAAGACTGTCATTTAAAGGAGAAACTTTAATGATATGTGAAGTCTATATGTGCAGATCTACTGAAAGGAGCTACTCACAACTGTGAAAATATTTTTGAGAATTAGCTGCAATAGTTCCTAGTTTGCCATCACTTGAGTTGTAAGATCTATTTTTTAAAAGTATTACTATTTGAATAAAAATACTTTCTTAATATATCATTTATTCTTTTGTAATTATTTCAATGATCTACAACTGTGAGGATATACATAGTTTATTTGCAATTCTACATTTTGGAAAAAAAATCTACTTTTTGTCAAGTCAATTATTTCATTTTGCTTAACACCCTGATCTGCAGGGAAACTCAGATGTTGACCATCACTGCAGGTACATTTCTCTTGCCCAGACCAACCTTCAAAGCAAGACTTAGAACATCTTCACATGTGCCCTGAAAGAAAAACACTACACCAACAACCACAGGCAATGTAAGACATGCCAAAGATTTCATATGGGCAAGTAGAAGTTATGCAAGCATATACATATAAAACTACTTAAGCTTTCTGCATAAATCTACATAAATATCTCCTCAGCATCACCATCACGACAATCTTCAATTTCCTGGACTGTTTCTCCAATCATTCATCAGCCCTGAAGTCTCCTTTTTCTTTCCTTTACTAAATAGTGTTTCTTCATAGGCAACAACTGAGATACCCACTTCTACCACAATGTAGGCATATGAAATATTCTTTTTTAATAAATCCAGTTTCTCCCTAATATGGATTTCTCAGAGTATCTTTTAATGTGAGATTTTCTATATTAGGTATACATATCTCAAATTGTTTGCCCAGAAATAATCCTGGTGTGGTGGTACATGGCTTTAATCCCAGCCAGCAATCTGGGAGACTGAGGCAGGAGTATCACAGGGTGGAGCCCAGTCAGGCGACTTAATGACTTAACCAAACCCTGTCACAAAATTTAAAAAAAAAAAAAAATTAAACGAGGATGGGGGAATTGCTGGGGATGTAGCTCAGTGCAAATTCCCTAGACTCAAACCAAAGTATTATTTTAAAAACGGTGGTGGCCGAGAAACAAAATAATCAAAAATCACTGGATTTGGATCATTTGGATCGGCTCTCATAAAATTAACATGAAATGTTTAGTTTAAAAAGAGGATCTGGGGCTACAGCTCAGTGATAGAGCACTTGACTAGCATGTATAAGACACTGGGTTCAAGCCCAAGCACTCAAAAAAGATAGAAGGAAGAAGAGGGGGAGGAAAAACTGACATTAAAATATATTTAGATATGATTATAAGAAATAATTATGAAGAATATAACTAAAAATAAATATACAAAATTAAACATTAAATGATAGAAAATACTGAATAACACTGATTTTGTTTTTAAATAAAAATTAATTTAGAAAACCACAAAAGGCAAATAATAAAGGTTGACAGACACACTTTAGAGGAATGTACATTTATGAAATATAATTGAATACAAAATAAAATAATAAGAATAGTAAACAATTCTAAGACATACCAGAGTATATCTAAACAGCATACTTTTAAACCAGATTGTCCAAACTTTTTTCATTTCAATCCTGTGTGACTTACATCCAGAGTATATAAAATACAATTAATCCAACTAAGTACTTAACCCAAATTGTATTGATATATGGGACTGAGGATACAACTAAACTTAACTCCTCATCATATATGACAATCACTTGCTGCTTTACCAAGTACATAGCTACACACAAAGGCTTTCTATTTAAATGGTTCTCACAGTTTAACTCATACCACAATCACTTGGGCTTGGTAAATCTGGATCTCATACCCAAAGATTTAAAATCTAAGGAGGACCCCAACTGGCTGAAATTCTAATGCACACTCCAGTATTGTTGAGACTGCTGGCCTCCAGACTACACTTTAGAAAACAACTGCCCATGTTGTTCATGTTGGTTCATGTTGTATGGAGGTGTTCTCCATTTAGAGGTTTGTCAATGACTTTCCAGGACAAACTGAACTTAAAAAATACAAAATAATATCCTAAATTAACAAGTCAAAGAAATTCTGAAATAGAAAATATCATTAATTATCTTTTAAAATAATTGTTATATGCAATTTCAGATTTAGGTTTAATTAAGGGTGTAAAGCCCAGAATATGACCAGGGAAATACAGAATACAGAACAGATCTGAGAGATTAAGAAATTTAAATGT